GGGGGGGCCGTGACTCGGGGCTGTGAAGAGCCACTGTGCCCATGCAGTGTCTGTGCCCATGTTCCTCCCTTGTAGCTGTAGAAAAAGGGATGGCCAAGGTTGAAATCTTGGGAAGGGGTGCCTAAAGGATCCTTGAGCTCCTCCTCGGGGTGCTGGTCCCCCTTTGGGGGTCCCCTTGGTGTCAGGATGTGGGTGCTGGTGGTTTTCGGGGCTGCCTGGAGGTGCTGTTCCCTTCCAGGTCCACGTGAAGCTGCGTCCCCACGTGCAGCAGTTCCTGGAGAGCCTTTCCAAGACCTATGAGGTACTGGGAGACAACCCCGTTCCCCTGGGGTCTGTGGGGTGTCACAGCATTGGGGTGGGGGTGGGATGTGGGCAGCCCACATGCAGGGCCCTTCCCCTGCTCCCCCAGATCCTTATCTTCACCACGGCGAAGCAGGACTATGTTGAGAAGATCATGGATGTGCTGGACCCCAAGAGGAAGCTGATCAGGTGATGGCCCTGCTGAAACCCCACTGGAGACCCCCCTGTGGCAGGGAGGGGTCCCCACACTCTACCCCCCTCCAGGCACTACCTGTCCCAGCGGGACTGCCTCTGCTCCAAGGGCTGCTACTGGAAGGACCTGGGCCGCCTGGGCAGGAACCTGGCCAAGACAGTGGCTCTGGACCACTCCATACAGGGCTTCCCTGAGCAGGTACCACCACCGGGGCTCTCATGGACGGGGATTCATGTGCACAGACCCCCCAGGAGCACTGCAGCTGTGATGGCTCCTCCATTGCCAGTGCTTGCCCTCTCTCATCCCCAGGCTGCCAACTGGATCCCAGTGCCGAGGTGGTGGGGGGACCCAGAGGACCAGGAGCTGTTGCGCCTTGCCCCACTGCTGGGACAGCTCTGCCAGGTGGTGAGGACCAGGGGGCTCGGGGGGGGGTTATGGGCACCTCAGGCTGCTGGGACAGGGCTGTGTGAGCTCACCAGACCCCTCACCCCCATCTCCCCCCATGCAGGAGGACGTGCGCACCAAGATCCAGCGCCGGTTCCAGCGCCGCAGGCTGCCCCCCCAGGATTAGGCCAGCTCCATGCAGGGAAGCGGGAGGGGGAGACCCCCATGGCTGGGGACCCCCTTGG